GAGGAGATTCTTCATCACTTGATGATGATGAACTTGAGCTTGGAAAATCTGGTGTGTTTTCAACATACTGAACACCTTGATCTTCTTCTCTGCTTTCCATATCCACAACAGTTGAATTCTTTTCTTGAATGGTATTTTCCCATTCCCATGCTTCTTTTTCATTGAACTTCACATCTCGGTTGATAATTATCTTCTTTGAGGTAAGATTGTACAGCCTATATACCTTCGAGCTTTCACTGTAGCCAACAAAAACACACTTTTCAGATTTATCATCTAATTTACCACTCTACTCGTCTGGAATATGGGAGTAAGCAATACTGCCAAAAATTCTTAGATGATTAACACTTGGCTTTAAACCGCTCCAAGCTTCATAAGGAGTCATTCCTTGAACAGCTTTTGTTGTAGCTCGATTCAGTAAATATACCACACATGATACTGCTTCACCCCAAAAAATCTTTGGCATCCCCTTTACTGTCAACATACTTCGAGCCAACTCCATGATGGTTCTATTTTTCCTTTTGGTAACTCCATTTTGTTGTGGAGTCCCTCAAACAGTTTTCTGATGTCGAATACCATGCTTGATCAAAAACTTCTTATAACTTATGTACTCACCACCTCGATCAGATCGTATGGTTTTGATCTTATAGCCACTGTCATTTTCGACAAGGGCTTTGAATGCTTTAAATCTTTCAAATGTTTCACTCTTTTCTTTCAGCAAATAAATCCATGTTTTCCTACTATAATCATCTATAAATGTTAGAAAGTAACGAGTACCTCCCATTGATATGGTTCGTATTGGTCCACACAAATTTGTATGTACCAACTCAAGTGGCTTTGAAGCTCTCCACGCCTTTCCAATGGGAAAAGGCTCTCGATGATGCTTTCCCAAAATGCAGGCTTCACAAACTCCTTCTTCTCTATTGATTCTTGGCAAACCTTTTACCATGTTCTTTTGACACATGTAGGAAAATGAGTTGAAACTTACATGCCCATATCTGTGATGCCATAGCCACGATTCTTCATTCATTACGACACTAAAACTGACCATCTTCTCATATATAAGCTTCAGTGGAAACATTCTATTTTGTGTCATTTGTACCTTTGTAATCAGCCCACCATTTTTGTCTTTGACCACACAAACATCATTGTTGAAGTGTACGTCATTTCCTTTTTGCATAATTTGTCCAACACTCAAAAGATTGTATTTAAGACTTGGAGCATAATATACATCAGTAATCTTCTGCACTCCCTTCTTACTTTTAACAAGAATGTCGCCTTTTCCTCTGACAAAATGCCTTTTATTATCACCAGTTTTGACTTCACTTTGGATAGATTCATCCAAATTTACAAAGGCGTTCTTATCTCCAGTAACGTGATTGCTGCAACCACTGTCGATATACCATATATTTTCTGAAACTTCTTCTTGTGTATTACAAGCTAACATGAAAACTCCTTCTTCCTTTTCTTTCTCCTTGTGTATGAATGTCGAACTGTTGCTTGCTTCATTATCATTCTTTTTGAACCAGCAATCTGCTTGAAAATGCCCCAATTTTCCACAATTGAAACACTGGAGATGATATGAGTCACCGCGACCTCTACCTTGTCATCTACTTCGACCTCGGCCTTGACCTCTATTCATTCCTCTTCCTCTCCCTTTATTAGGAAGAAAATTAGCATTTTCCTTAGACTCAAAGTTCTTCCTTCACTATTTCTTCCTCTTCCTCGGCCACCTCGATCACTTCTTGTTCCTCTCGAAGCTTCTCTAAAAGAAGTTTGAGCATGAAATGCTTGTTCTAGAGGCGTTGAATCAAAAAAATTTAATCGAAGCTCATGAGATTGGAGTGATCCCATCAAGCTATTCACTGACAAAGTCAACAAATCTTTCGATTCTTCAATTGCTACAACGATGTGTTCGAATTTTATGGGCATACTTCGGAGGATTTTTTCAACAATTCTTTGATCTTGAATATCTTCTCATTCACCTTCAATTGGTTAGTGATCAAAAGAATACAATTAAAGTATTCTTCTACACTTTTAGAATCTTTCATCTTAATCGTATCGAATTCAGCTCGAAAAGCTTGCAATCTCACCACTTTAACTTTATCTTCACCCTTATAACTGGCCTGTAACGTATCCCACGCTTGCTTTGCTGAAATGGCTGTCGAGATTCTTTCAAAAATTACTTCATCAACTGCTTGATAAATGAAGAACAACGCCTTCCTGTCCTTCTTTCGATTCTCCTTCAACTCATTGAGTTGTGCTTGACTCAGCCCCGCTTGATTCTCCAGTTCTTCAAAATCGTTTTCAACAATTTTCTATAAATCTTGGGATCCATACAACACCTTCATTTGTATACTCCACTGATTGTAATTCTTCCTACTAAACTTGGGAAGTTGGGTTGCAACATGTTAGATGCCATTTTTCTTTGCCGATCTTGTAACAAGGCTCTAATACCACTTTGTTGGAGTTGGTGGGCAAATGCACACAAATGGGAAACTCTCACTTCTATAAAGCTGAATACTTTATCTTGTATTGCTCAATTATTTGTGTGTTTAAATACACTTACATGACTCACCTATTTATACTACTCAATGGATATTTCTAGTACATGAATTTAATTCATGCAATGAACCACACAATGAACCAAAATGTTCCATGTACTAGCAGTTATTATGAAATTCTTTGCACCTTCCCAAGTATCACTTGGTCTTCTTAGATGAATCTAGACAAGTCTAGATTAATCTTCTAACAACTTTCATGTGGTTCTAAATTATTTCTCATTTGTCTGGGTAGATGATGGGTCATCCTCATGTTGTTGCTGCGCTAATAGTGAAAGAGCGGCAACCTTGCTGCGGCTCCATGAAGATACCCAACATAAAGCTCCTGGAAGAAGTTTCGGGAGATCCAAGCAGATGGGAAAACACAATGCCTGCAGCCCCACTGTTCATCGGGTAGACAAAATGTTGAGAAGGATTCTTGTTTGATTCTTCATGTCAGGATCTTACACTTTCTGTTGGGTTAGAAAATGTCTTAAGCAGCTGGGATGAAGACCTTCTCAAGTTCATATTCCTCAATGCTTGCTTGGGCACCTTTTGGGTAAGTTCTTAATTGGACATAAACATGGTTATGTTTATTACACCCCCAGCCAGAAGTACAAACAAGTATATGATGCTTATAGCCACCAGCTGGAAACGGAATATTAACAACAAAATTTCAATTTCGTAGTGTCTAAAAGTTTGAAAGTTTTGAGTTTTCCTGGCTATCACATCATGAAGTGGATTTATTGGTCGTCTTTCCAACACTATAAATAACAAAATAGAGTTTGTTTTTATTGAAACTATAAAATAGCATCAGTTTTTAGTATTGGGAACAAGATATACTCATTTAAAATGCTGTAAAAAATATAAACACATCCATTGGAAATGCTTTGTTACTGTCCAAAATACACAACCCGTTGAAAGTATTATTTCCTATTGGTGGGACACTAGTTTCTAAGATCGCTGATTCACAAATTTGATGACCAAGAATTTGTTTATTCGATTTGGCTGTTCATGTCAACTATGAAAACTGATTTATCCCATTTTTCTATTTTATAATACTCATTTTAGAATATGGCTTAATGAGATGCTTATTCTTTTGCTTTGGCAGACTGTTGTTGGTACTCTGATGGATTCAACTGCTATCGAACAGCTAGAGAAACGCTGTATGGAAATGGATATGGTGATGCCTCCAATGCAAAATATATGGGCTAGAGAAGTCTATCACACTAACCCTCTTAGTAGAGCAAGGAACATTATTCAAGAACTCCAAAATATGTAACTCGTGTTACTGATCTTTTGGATGACTCGAAAGTTGGCTCATACTGTATTTTTTATATATGCGCCATCTCTTCAGTGTAGCATGGGGAATGGCATGTGTTGTATGTCCATGATTAGTAATCCAACAGTATATGTTGTATATTAGCATAGGAACCTCTAAAGTCATACAGTGGAATACTGGGTATAATTATTGTATGTAATATGAATGTTCGATCATATGATATGCATCGATATTGTTGCTGCTTGAGCTTGAGTGTTCATTTTGTTGGGATCCAAGTGCAAAGTTGATAATTTGCATTGCTATGTATTTGAATATTTAGGTTTTGCCCTAGAATTAGTAGCAGGTCTTTTTTCTTTCTTTCTTTCTTAATTTTTCTTTTTTTTTTTTTTTTTTTTTTTTTTTGGGTAAGTTTAGTTGCAGATCTGTTAATTATATATCTAAGGTACATATTGGGACATTGTTTAAATCAAAATTCTATTTGAATTTTTTGTTCCAAAACTTTCCAGTGGAAGGATTATCTAATTCAATGTCCCAGGGAATGAATGGTGCGTATTTTATCAGGTATTTGTTATCGTGGCCTTGTCAAATTTCACTGGTTTTCAAATGAGAAGGAAGTTTTTGGTGGCATTGTGATGCATGTGAGTATGGAATTTTAAAGCTGATGGACTAATATTGCAAGTGAGAAAGAGAAGTGCCTTGGTTGACCGTTAAACCATCTAGAACTGTTTACCAACCCATTTCTCAGTTGTCTTAACTGACTTTAATTGCTAAGTAATTATAGCCATACCATGTTATTCTTGTTTTCAATGGAGAGTTACCAAACAAGGGATGACTAAATTTACTCTGTCAACCCATTTAAGTTCCCATTATACCCTCCCTTCTGTCTTGTAGTATTGCTAGCTCAAGAAGGGCCTTAATGACATTGGGAGATTATATGAACACTTTCTAAACTGAGTTAAACTGTGTTGAGGTCTTAAGCACCAAAGTTTAGAGTTGAACAATATGATCATTTTCAACAAAATCCATCCACATTATTTTTTCCCCTTATTTTGCCAACCAAAGTGAGAAAAAGATGGTGTTTGAATCACTATGCAATTTGACTTTAATGCACCAAAACTCTCCCTATATAAACCCCACAAGCCAATGCTCATTGCCACCATCTCATTGCACTCTTACTTTAATTCCTCACTCCCCACTTTGACAACTGAAAATGGCTTTCAGCTATGCAAAATTCCTTGTCCTCCTAGCCGCTGCAGCCACCATGTTGGCAGCTAGCCAGGCGGCCACTGTTGTCGTGGGAGGGTCGGAGCACTGGCGCTATGGCTTTAACTACACCGACTGGGCTCTTCGACATGGCCCTTTTTACCAAAATGATAAACTAGGTCAGTATATGCATGCACACACATATATATTAGCCATCAAGACTAGCTAATATTAGGTTCCATGTGCAACCGGCTGCAAACGAATCGAATTGTTCATGAACAGCTCAAAAAGGACATAATCGAGTAAATAGTCTCGTTTAGGCTCAGCTCATGTAGGATTTCATGTGTTTATGAATACATTCATAAATATAAGCTTGTATAAGTTCACAAATATGATATCAAGGTTTTTTTTTTTTTTTTTTTTTCTAGTATTATTATTATTATTAGTAAACGAGCCGAGCCCAAATCGGAACAAACTGAAGTTGGTCTAGGTTCATTTGCTACCCCATGTGCATGTGTCATGGAGTAGTTAATATTGAACTTATATATACATGCACTAACCTTTGGTTTGACATTGTTGTGCTAATTGTGATGATGATCAGTATTCAAGTACGATCCACCAAGCGAGAACAGCCCACCTCACACAGTGTACTTGCTGCCAAACCTGTGGAGCTTCATAAAGTGCGATTTCAGGAGTGCACGGTTGTTGGCAAATGTGACAGAAGGAAGTGGTGATGGCTTTGGCTTTGTGCTCACTAATAATTGGAGGCCGCTTTATTTCGCTTGTGGAGAAAATGATGGCAAGAACTGCAAGGAGGGGATGATGAAGTTCTTCGCGGTACCTTTGCCTCGTCGCTCATAAATATATATATATATATATATAGATGATGACACAGAAAAGAACAGGGAAGTGTATACATAGTCCTTACATGTTATATAGTTTGGTGAAATAACTGGATCATTTTGGCATATATGACCATGATTGATACTTCAAATAAGTTATTTTCAATTATTATTATTATTTTTTTTTTCTGTTTTTTTCTTTCATGTTCTTCATTATGTTGTTGTTGTTAGTGTTGTGAGATGGCTATGATAAATAAAATGTTTTGTGTTTGATTTGAATTCTTTGCATCTATATTTTTACGCTTAATTGTAATTGTAGAAGGAAAAAAAAAATGGAGAAAGGAACATGAATTATATATATATACATGAGTTATATATAAAGAGAGGGTTTGGGCTTTTTAATTTCCAAATATAAAATCAATCCAAGACAATAAAGTCTACATTAATGGTTCTTGACCATATCTCAAATCTTTAAAAGGTGTTTTTTATGGGATTAGAATTTGCATTACAACCAAATTTGCAATAAAATCAAATAGTGATGTCACCATTTTATATTGTGTTTACCTTAATTATACTATTTGTGCTATATATCTGAATTTTTTTTTCCAAAAACTCAAAGAAAGCTCAAACTCGGAAAAAGATAATAGTTAAGTCATGACTCAAAAGTGAATATACTAATATTATCGTGTAATTTCATCAAAAAGCTAATCTGAAAATTTACAGGATGTTGTTTATTTAGTAGACAACTACTGTGGGATATATATATATATATATATATTGTATGAAGGGTATTCCCATAAAGGCTTAAGTTCTTGATTAAGATCTATGAGTTGCATTTTTGTTAGTCTCATACATGAACGAAATTAGTGCGCCCAAGTTTATTATATTGGAATATGCATCTTCTTAATTCATGAATATTGAATAATAGAATACATTTATGAAACTTAGTTGAGGGTCACAACTTGTATACTCAATAAAGAATTAAGGTCAATTTCAATCCAAACTAAAGTTTTCTCCCACACAAAGTTTTACTTTGTCCTCGAGGACAAAGTGGGTGTGTGTATTGTTTACCAATAAAAATAAATAAAGTTATACGGGGCACGAATGAATTGAAAATGTCCCATTTAGGTAGTTTTGGACTAGAATGGAGCATGGAAGGGGAACATCAGTCCAAAACCGTTCTTGTTGCCATTCTTAATTCCAAGAGGTTTTGCCTATATTAATTAGAAGTTACAAACGAAACAATCCAACCGCTAAGTTATGTCAAAAAACAATTTGGCGACTACAAGTTATGGTCTATATTTTAAAATTTTTATTTTCCTTATACTTTCAAGTATAAGATGATTTATAATGATATTAAATTCCAAATTGGCGATGGTTATTTCAATATGTCAATATCCAAATTGTGGGTTATATGTCTTGTCAAACAAGAAGAAGATTTGAAATGGGGTCGGCTTTAAATTTTTGAAAAGTGCCAGGCAAATTTTATTATTTTACGTAAGACCGAAATAAAATATTAAACTTTCATTTTGGCTGCATGCTTTTCGGTTAAATTTTTGAAAAGTGCCAGGCAAATTTTAGTATTTTTTACATAAGACTGAAGTAAAAGTTAAGACTCTCATTTTGGTTGCATGCTTTCAGTTAATTTATTTATTAAATTATCACTCATTACTGAATTTTTAATACTTCGTTTGGTTAGGGATGAATAAAACACCTATAGGGAAAGGAATATATCTCTTCATTTCTTGTTTGGTTGATTGCTGTTGAGGGTGAAATTCGCACGGTCCGATACGACACCGTTTACCTGCAAGGGAAAGAAGAGAAAATCGATAAACCTTGACAGCACCGATGTGGTGCCTGCCAAGAGCTCTCCAATGATCAAGTTAGTCACCGGAGGTCTAAAAAGGAAGGCAGGGATTTAATGATAGTTTTCTCGTCGTACCTTATTCCCGAGTCGTCGTCCTATTTATCGTCGCTTCCCTTATTCTTGATAAGGGAATTTCATCATTCTTATCCCATGGAACTTATCCCATGGAAATCTTATCCTTGATAAGATTTGTCATTATTTTAATCAATGGAAATCGTTACCTTTAATAATGAAATATTATCATTGATCACCGAAGAGGTCTGGCGGATGGTCAAAGTAGGTTAGGTTTATTTTTCCCTATCAGTTGCCCCCCATTCCCAAGCTTGCTCGTCTAACTTTGGGAATGTAATAATAATAATAATAATAATTTTTTTTTTTTTTTTTACTCTGGAATAGTACCCCGCGGGTATTATTCCTGCGGGTACTATTCACATGAACAGTACATGAAACCTTTTTTTTTTTCCTTGCCCTGGAACAGTACCTGCGGATACTATTCACATGAACAGTATAGAATTTTTTTTTTTTTTTTTTTTTTTTTTGCCCCCGGCACTATTCCCGGGGGACAATGTCGCGGGTACCCTTCCCTTGGGTATTCTGTCCCTAGACACTATTTTTGGTAAGATTGGGTACTCTGCCTCGGGGTACTCTTTTGAATACCTCTGGGTAATCTTCTACTGAATTGTACGAACTTCACTCAGATTGTCACTCCTTTAATAAGGGAATTTAAATTTTACGAGTTTTACTCGTCCCTTTAATAAGGGATTTTTATTTATTATCCCTTATAGTACAGGGATATAGATTACATGATTCATTCATCCCAGGTCCTGGTAATACAGGACACTTATTTACTATCCCTAATAGTACGGGGATATGGATTACGGGATTCATTCAGCCCGGATCCTTTTAATACAGGACTTTATTTACTATCCTTTATAGTACGGGAATATTGATACGGGATTCATTCAGCCCGGGTCCTGGTAATACAGGACACTCATTTTCTATCCCTTATAGTACGGGGATATGGATTACGGGATTCATTCAGCCCGGATCCGTTTAATATAGGACTTTATTTACTATCCCTTATAGTACGGGGATATGGATTACGGGATTCATTCAGCCCGGATCCTTTTAATACTGGACTTTATTTACTATCCATTATAGTACGGGAAGTAGTCGTCTCGTCCCTCTAGTAAATGAAGGAAGCTTTAATTATCTCACCCTTCTGTATATAAGGAGTAGTCGGCTTGTTCATTTAATAAGGGAAGAATGTGTAGTTGGCCCTTTAAGGAGATAAATAGATTATCATGGGCTTAATATTACCACATAGGTAGTAGGGAACTGAAAATATAATATTTTATTGCATAGAAATTGAGAGTCATCCACCTCATTGGTGATGGTGACTTTATTAAAAAATAACATTCGAAATGATGAACTGAGATGCCCCTAGTCTTTATTTTGAATGACTTGATAAGGCAAATTCTAGCTGTGAAGCAATTGTTAATCGGTATACTTATCTGAGTCCTCCTCACTATATGTCCTATCGCTTTGGCTGAAGAATAATCTTTTATAACTGGTATCCTTCTCATCTCTGGTGAGAGGGCCTGACCTCTTCTTGTCCTCTCCTTCCTTTACCTTCCGTGCATTCATAGTGTCTTCAGCGTTCATGTGTTTCTGCGCTCTGATCAACAACTCTGCCATGCTGGTGGGAGGTTCTTTGGATAGGGCAAACAAGAATCTGGAGGTTTAGAGTCCTCCTATGAAAGCGATCAAGGCCACCTTGTCGTCCACCTCTTCTGCCTACAACATCTCTGTGTTGAATCGGGTAATGTATTCCTGGACCGACTCGCCCTCCTGCTGCTTCACGGTAAGCAGCTAGGTGGCTGGCCTCCTATGCCTCTGACCTGCAATGAAGTGGCTCACAAATTGCTTACTCAATTCTTCGAAGGTGTTGATGGTTCCTGACTTCAGCTTGTTGAACCAAACTCTTGCTGATCCCTTAAGTGTAGTGGGAAAAGCTCGGCACATAATTTCGTCTGGTACGACGTATAAACACATTAGAGCTTGAAAGATTTCCAAGTGATCGAGGGGATCTTTGGTCCCATCGAAGCTTTCAAATGAGGGCATCCTGAACTTGCTAGGCAGTGGACATTTCATAACGACAGGGCTGAACGGCAAGTGGGTCTTTTGTACCAAGTCATTTACGGCTGCAAGACCTTTCCCTTTCATAGCCTGCATTACACCCTCCATTTTCCCCTTGAGATCCTCGACCTGCAGGTCAAAATAGGTAACTTTCTTTGTCTTTTCCTTAAGACAGAAAGCTGTGCCTTCCTGAGGTAGAGAATTCCGTGGGAGAGATGGGTGTACCACCTCTCTATGTCGGTTTCCCACTTGGCTTTGTTCCACTTCGATCTCATTTTGGGAGGGATGATTATCCTACTTTGCAAGATTCCCATTACCTCCGTTTAGATTTGAGAGATCTTGTTGTGGCAAGCTTTGTTGAACCGATAGAACAAGATGTTGCAGGAGCGTTGCATTTTGCTGGATCAACTGGTCCATTCTCTGACTCAGAGTTTGGACCTGCAGTTCTAACGCTGCAAGTCGTGTCTGGTTATTTGGGACGTCTAGGTTTTCACCCGACTCTACCCTTTGACCAGATCTCTGCGACGGTGTTCCTTTGGTAACCATACCGGTTTGCAAACGTATATATCCAACCGAGGAATTAATTGATTGAAGGGAATCGTCGTTCCCACAGACAACGCCAACAGTTGAGGGTGAAATCCGCACGGTCCGATACGACACCGTTTACCTGCAAGGAAAAGAGGAGAAAATCGATAAACCTTGACAGCACTGGTGTGGTGCCTGCCAAGAGCTCTCCGACGATCAAGTTAGTTACCGGAGGTCTAAAAAGGAAGGCAGGGATTTAATGATAGATTTTTCGTCGTACCTTATTCCCGAGTCATCGTCCTATTTATCGTCGCTTCCCTTATTCTTGATAAGGGAATTTTATCATCCTTATCCCATGGAGGTCTTATCCCATGGAGATCTTATCCTTGATAAGATTTGTCATTATTTTAATCCATGGAAATCGTTACCTCTAATAATGAAATATTATCATTGATCACCGAAGAGGTCTGGCGGTTGGTCAAAGTAGGTTAGGTTTATTTTTCCCTATCAATTGCAATGGATAGTCAAAAAATGAATGGGCTGATACTATTTTTTTTTTTTTGGTAGGAAGGGATTTTATATTCTTTTACCAATGTACCCTTATTATATAAAATTATAAAATGTAGATATTCATTTTAAATTTTTTGAAAAAGTTAAAATTGAAAATTGTATATTAGTAGGTTGTTATCTATTTTCTCTCTCCTCTCTTCTCCTCAAAATTGGGGAATAAAAAAAATAAAGAAATGAGGGATGTTTCATCTCTCCTCGCTTCTTCCTTCTCCTCTCTTCTCTTCCCTTCCCTTCAACCA